CGGGTACAAAAATTATATTGAAAATATATTCAAAAAATAATGACGTATTTGATTAATACAACGCATTGCAAGGGACTGAAAGCATTTGATATAGCAAAACTTAATAACTCACAATCTTGCTGGAAGTCCGCATCGACAAGTCACAGTGGTGGACGAAGCGGACAATGTCGCTGATGTTCTTCCTGAGGCACCAAGGCCGCTGTCTCCATCCGATAAACCGACACCAGCCCAAGCATTACTAATATATAAAGAAATTATATGAATTAAAATAAATTTAAAGAGATTCATTGCTTGGCATACAAGTCAAATTCTAACTCAATAATTTTAAATAATCTCATTAGATTTTGGATAGTAAGTTACATAAGGATATCTCGGTTGGATCTCTGCAGCACCATTGACAGAAATCGAGCACGGGTCGTGCGCATAAGAAAGTGAAACTTTACTATTGCACTAAAAAACAATTTTTGCGAAAAAATGGCAGTTAAGCTAATTTATATTGTTAGGGGGACCTTCATTTCGTGTAAAAGTGCATAAATAAAAGATTTGTTGGTCGATCTCACCAGATAAAGACGGATGAAGCCCTTTGTACTGCAGCCGTTTGGATTTTATACGATATTCATGTTGACGCAGTCCACGGGACTTCCCCCTCGTTTACAGTAAAAACGTGCTGAGCTTTCATTCATCATATGATGGACATCATCAGAGCTGAGTGCCATTCTTGTAAAAGGCTTTCGTTAACACTAGGTCAAGAAGACTATCCAGCTTTATCTTACCTCTTATATAGACTCAGTTACGCCAAAAGAAAATAAAAAATTTAAAATCTTGATGGATATAGAGTGTTTTAGCTAATTATCTTTCATACTTGTCTTGCAACTTTAACTCGAGTGTATGCGTGTGTGTGTTAGCGTCTATACGCAATACTGATTCTAAATCAGAGTTATCAAAAGGTTAAAGTTTGGCTCTGACCATCAAGGCCTAATGACCTCAAGGAAAGCCTTGACCGAGACTGCGTAAGTCCATAAGCAAGTATGATTGAGATAATGAGATGAGTTTGTAGGCATGTAAGTCAAGTTACGA